ATTTTTAGTTTTTTGTTGTTGTTGTTGTTGTTGTTGTTATTGTTTTTAGATATTGTCTTGACCCGTAGCCCAGGCTGGAGTGCAATGGCATGGTCTTGGCTCACTGCAACTTCTGCCTCCAGGTTCAAGCAGTTCTCCTGTCTCAGCCTCCCGAATAGCTGGGATTACAAACATGCACCACCATGCCCGGCTAATTTTTGTATTTTCAGTAGAGATGGGGTTTCACCATGTTGGCCAGGCTGTTCTCGAACTCCTGACCATGTGATCCGCCCACCTCAACCTCCCAAAGTGCTGGGATTACAGGCATGAGCCACCTCGCCCAGCCGGGCACTTCAGTTTTGAATGTGTTCACTGGAAGAGTCTATATTTTAGTTGACAATCCAAAAGGCAATTGGGTATATGGATTTTGACCTCAGAAGGAAGGTCTGGACTAGAGAAATATTGGTAGCCAATGGCATCTATATGGCAGGTGAAGCCTTTGACAGATGCAATTACTGGCAGAGATCTTATAAATAAGAAAAATGGTTCACATATGTGCCCTAGAGAATACAGCGTATAAAGGGCAGCAGAATGAGATGAGCCCACAAAGGAGCTTAGGAAGGAGTAGCTATGCCAGAAACCGTGGCTCACACCTGTAATCCCCACACTTTGAGAGGCCAAAGCGAGAGGCTCCCTGGAAGTCAGGAGTTTGAGACCAGCCTGGGCAGCATAGTGACACCCTGTCTCTACAAAATAAAAATTAGCGGGTCGTGGTGGCGTGCTGCTCTATTCCCAGCTACTTGGAAGGGTAAGGCAGAAACGGTCATTTGAGCCCAGGAGTTTGAGGCTACAGAGAGCTATAATAGCGCCATTGCACTTCAGCCTGGGTGGCAGTGAAACCCTGTCTCTAAAAAAAGAAACCTAAAACTGATGGTCTGTGTATTGCAATGAGTGCTCTTTAGACATTAAGACTTGAATATGAAGACTTGACCTCCAGAAATTAACAAGTAACAATGTCATGGAGGCGTGCAACACAGTATTGTCAGATGGCATGGCCTCAAAGATGCATAGGGGTGAATCAGTGATCTGGAAGCAGCAGCAAGCTCCCGGAATACACCAGCACCCTCTTCTGGGCCCTGTGGAATATGGGGACATGCTAGAATTTAGCAGCTTCCCCTTGCACATTTCAGTTAAGGCAAGTAGGTGGAGGATGTGTCCTTCCAAGTCGTCGGAGGTAGATGAGTTTGCCCCACAGAGACCAGTAGAAAGGACTGAGCTTTTTATTGTTCCTAGGATACTTGAGTTAAGGTTGCAGAGGACCAAGAAAAGGCACGATGTGTTTATAGGATGGGTACACAGAGAAACCAGCACTTGAGATACTGATGAAGATGACAGAAATGAAAGGCATTACATTAGCTGGTTTCCACATCACACATTGGATGCTAAAGCTGATAGGAGCCTCTAAGTGCTCAGAGGCTGTGATTATGGCTGCATTTGGTGTTTCTCGGAGGGGACAGAGTAAAGCAGAACCTCAAACACTAACGAGCTTTCATTACTGCCTGCTGTGTTGCTGTGCAGCTGGGAAATGGGAGTGAGTGGAGGAATCTCAGAAAAGAGTATATAACGCTTACAATGGTAAAAAGAACCTGTGGGCACTTGAGATCTAATGACAGAATGAAGCAAAGGCTGGGGTGGAGAAGGAAAGCCCAATGGGAGTCTCCTGCGCAAAGAAGCATCAAGAAACTGCCAAGCTTCAGGACAGTGGAAAGGACAGTGTGTGTGAGAACATCATCACCTCGCCGTTTCTGTGGATGTGGGGCTGCTTCTTTGTATTTGGTTGTGTTGCCCTTTGTGTGTTAGTTTTTCATGGTGTATTTCAGACAGCGCCTGACTCATTAGGATCATCCTAATGCATGGCATTGTGTAACAGCTAGCTGCCATTTTCACTGCAACATCTGCAAATTTTTCTTTGAAATGTTCTTGCTCAGTGGTATGGTCAAGAGGCTGATAGCCAGAATCTGCAAAAAAAAAAAAGAAAAAAAAGAAAAAAAAATGGTAAAACCCAAGGCAGGGCCAGGATTGAAATAATTGATGATTAGCCCCCCCCACCAAATTTGAAGATTCACTCAAATTTGTGATGACTTTCACAAAGCTGTGATCATTTGAAATAAGAATTCTTACAACTAAAGAATCAACTGTTCATGCAGTAGGAGTTTTGTGTTTCTGAGCCAGTGAAATATTTTCCCTCAGGGCAAAGAATAACACTTGGTGCTGTAAGTGGGGCAGAAAGAGCAAGACAGAGAGGAGGGAACCATTACAGCATTCATCTCAAAAGTGCATCGAAAATTTGAATCATGTCTCTTGATTTCTTTAGACACATTTAAGTCCAAGATCTAGAGCTTCTTTTCTTTAGGTAAGGACTTTGGAGAGCTGGGGAGAGAAACAAGAATACATAGCAGAATATCCGGACCCTGGACCTTGAGCTCAGTTGATATAAATTGTTGAGTGTTTTAAGCTATTTTCTCATTTCCTTAAACTTTGGAAGACCTTCGGTCTTTACATTCCAAACAGTACTCCTTTTTTCCTAGCTATTCTAAGGTAGTTACTAGCTTTTAGAAAAATGAGTTTAGCAATGACTACTGTTGCCCATTTTGTTTGTCCAAGAAGCCCATGCAGCATACGAAATGAAAAATTGAAACAACAGATGATTCCTGGAGGTAAATTCATATTATAAACCAATTTTGCCTATGGAACAAATATTAGAATTAAATTATTTTGTCCCCTCTTTGCTGCCTTCATTGCCAAAAGAGAAACTGCTTTAGAGGAGTGTGTGGGTGTCAAGAAGAACAGTGATACTGTGTTATATAAATAGCCATTAGGCAATGCAAGAAAGTGTGCCAGAAATTGCTGTTAATTTACCTAGCTGCCATCTAAAATCTTGTTAGATTAGCAGCTGCACCTGAGGAGAGTCTGTATCTGATGTATTCTATTTGTAAAATCCTCACATATCCCTTTAGAAGTGAATGAGCCCCAGTTATGTAGCAGCTGCTAGTACATGGATTCCATGCTCAATCACTGTAGCCCTTTAGGATTGATACTGAGCACCCAGCAGCTCCTCTGAAATACTCCAGCTGGTTCACAGAGGGTTAAGATCAAAGTCTCAGCAGTGTCTTACGTTCTGAAAGTACCAGTTCCTAAACTCTTCCCTTCTCCTTTATGATTCCTAATATTATAAGATTTAGTTTTACTCTTGCTTTTAAATGCAAATAGACCTGACATTTGAATTTTTTAATGTAAAATGCCTTTTTACTTTAAAAAACTTTATCTAAAACAAAATTTGTCCTTTTTAAGATAAAGTTTCCCAATAAGTTGTATGAGCTCCCAACACCCCCTCCCCACTGCTCCCAAGGAAATTGATATTCCCTTCCTCTCATTTCTTTGCCTATATTTCCATTCTTCTATTGCTCAATATTACCACTGGCATCACATGGATTCTTTAACCGGTGCTCAAGGTTAAAAGCAGAGCAGTCTGTGATCATTAAGACTGGAGAGCCAGGCACTATGGCGTGTGCTTGTAATCCTAGTTCCTTGAGATGCTAAGGCAGCAGGGTAGCTTGAGCCCAGGAGTTTAAGACCAGCCTGGGCAACACAGCAAGTCCCCATCCCCCTCAAAATTTTTTTAAATTAGCCAGACGTGGTGGTGGGTGCCTGTAATCCTAGCCACTGTGGAGGCTGAGGCGGGAGGATCACTTGAGCACAGGGGTTTGTGATTGTAGTGAGTTATGATCATGACACTGCCTGTGCAACAGAGGGACACCCCATCTCTAAAAAAGAAAAAAAAAATAGAGAAAATGGTGTCTCACATGTCTGACTCAGTCTGCTTCTCCTTAGTCTTGTGCCTTTCATTCTGGAGTAGATGGGGTGGAGCTAGCGATAGACCATAGCCATCTGAGTGTGGGACTATGTCTAAGGACTGCTGAGTTGTCTGTTGTGGCTAATTATCCAGACCACTCTACCTTCTGTACGCACACTGTGGTGTGACTGTAAAGATGCAGGACTAAGGAAGGCAAGGTTATGGCATGAGGAGAGGGAATACTAATTGCATTAAGGCGTAACAAGTGTTAAGAATAGCTTTCATTTATTGAGTCTTTCTATATAACAGGCTCTGGGCCAAATTCCAGACCCATGTTATAAAGCCAAATCCTCCCAGCAGCACTTAGCATTATTATGCCTTTTTGACAGATGAGGAGACATGGCCTTTTGTTAAAAAGCTTGCCCAAGTTCACACAAACAGTAGGAGCTGGAGCAAGGCTACAAACCCAAGCCTGTCTGATCCGCAAGCCTTGCTGTGGAACTGCTGTCCTGTACTGCAAGTGATCTGTCTGCTTGGGGGTGGGTGGTAGGCGTGTGCACTTTCAAGATGGAGGAAAAGAAAGCATGTTGGCCTAATTCCACAGGTTCAACTGTGGTGGGATCCTAATGTGGACCAAAGAAAGGGAAGTTAGAGCCAGAAGATGGGACAGGGATTGGAAAGCATAGGTCACTATCTGGGTACATGCAAATGTGATCATCATTTAACCTCTGAATTTTTTTCTTCCTTTTTTAAAGACAGGGTCTTGCATTGTCACCCAGGCTGGAGTGCAGTAGCACAATCATGGGTCACTGCAGCTAACCTTTGAATTCTTGATTTATGTCTGTACACTAAAGGTTCAATTACCCATGTAAATGGAGTGAAGCCAGATGTGAATAATGCTAAAGAACCAATAATCTAAGGAACTCTTCAGTAGCAGTTTGCCATTTGTATGTGGCTTGTTGAGAGTAGATTTATTTTCTTAAATCTGTTTGCTTAGTCATCCCAGAATGGTAATGGATCTGCCTGCGCCACGAGCAGAGATCAAAGTGGATTATCCATAGGGGAAGATTAGACAGTTAATTCTAAAGGAAAAGCTTTTAAATTCATTTGAAAGCATAGTCTCAGACACACTGACACCTTTTCTTTTTTTTCCTCTGAATTCATTTAGAACATATGCTGTCAGGAGGATAAGAGATGCCTTCAGAGAAAATAAAAATGTGAAGGATCCTGTAGAAATTCAAACCCTAGTGAATAAAGCCAAGAGAGACCTTGAAGTAATTCGTCGACAGGTAAGATGGTTCAATGACGTACTGTTTTTCATTAAGAGCTTTAAACTTTGACATATCCCCCTTGATTAGACAGCAGTGCTTTTGGTGTTGGTGATTTACAGAGCAGGATCATGAAACTCTGTTCCTTGTACTAATACAGACATGTAAAGGTGAACTCTCATATTTTCAGATTCAAGTTGAACTTAAAATATCAGCTTTCCAGAATTTCCAGGAAGTGTATCCTTCTGGAAAGCTGATACTTTAAATATGAGAAATTTCTGCATTACTGTTATTGAAAGCTAAGTTTTTATAAGATGTATTGCACATGTATACTTAGATATAGTTCACAGTATAAATATATTCTCCCTTTCCTAGTATTTTTAATCACAATTCAGGATAAACAGAACGTGGCGCTTTTCTTGAAGACACCATCGTGGGTGGTGAACCTGAATTACGTTGCCACATGGGCGGTGCATCTGCAGGTGCAGATGGTGTAAAGTCACCTGCTTGGGTGCTGACCCCATAAAGGACCCTGGAGGGCGTGTTTTCATTTCGTGGAAGTGCCAAGGATCACCTTGTGCTTCCTTTTCTCATTCTCGTGAGGCGGGCAGATATTCTCTCATCCTCGTGAGGCGGGCGGAGCTTCTCTCATTCTTGTGAGGTGGGCGGAGCTTCTCTCATCCTCGTGAGGCAGGCGGGGCTTCTCATCCTCGTGAGGCGGGCGGGGCTTCTCTCATCCTCGTGAGGTGGGCGGGGCTTCTCATCCTCGTGAGGCGGGCGGGGCTTCTCTCATTCTCGTGAGGTGGGCGGGGCTTCTCATCCTCGTGAGGCAGGCGGAGCTTCTCTCATTCTTGTGAGGCGGGCGGGGCTTCTCATCCTCGTGAGGCGGGCGGGGCTTCTCTCATTCTCGTGAGGCGGGCGGGGCTTCTCTCATCCTCGTGAGGCGGGTGGGGCTTCTCTCATCCTCGTGAGGCGGGCGGGGCTTCTCTCATCCTCGTGAGGTGGGCGGGGCTTCTCTCATCCTCGTGAGGCGGGCGGGGCTTCTCTCATTCTCGTGAGGCGGGCGGGGCTTCTCTCATCCTCGTGAGGCGGGCGGGGCTTCTCATCCTCGTGAGGCGGGCGGGGCTTCTCTCATCCTCGTGAGGCGGGCGGGGCTTCTCATCCTCGTGAGGCTGGCGGAGCTTCTCTCATCCTCGTGAGGCGGGCGGGGCTTCTCATCCTCGTGAGGCGGGCGGGGCTTCTCTCATCCTCGTGAGGCGGGCGGGGCTTCTCATTCTCGTGAGGCGGGCGGGGCTTCTCTCATCCTCGTGAGGCGGGCGGGGCTTCTCATCCTCGTGAGGCGGGCGGGGCTTCTCTCATTCTCGTGAGGCGGGCGGGGCTTCTCTCATCCTCGTGAGGTGGGCGGGGCTTCTCATCCTCGTGAGGCGGGCGGGGCTTCTCTCATGCTCGTGAGGCGGGCGGGGCTTCTCTCATCCTCGTGAGGCGGGCGGGGCTTCTCATCCTCGTGAGGCGGGCGGGGCTTCTCTCATGCTCGTGAGGCGGGCGGGGTTTCTCTCATCCTCGTGAGGTGGGCGGGGCTTCTCTCATCCTCGTGAGGCGGGCGGGGCTTCTCTCATTCTCGTGAGGTAGGCGGGGCTTCTCTCATTCTCATGAGGCGGGCGGGGCTTCTCTCATTCTCGTGAGGTGGGCGGAGCTTCTCATTCTCGTGAGGCAGGCGGAGCTTCTCTCGGTCTCGTGAGGCGGGCGGAGCTTCTCGTTCTCGTGAGGCGGGCGGAGCTTCTCTCATCCTCGTGAGGCAGGCGGAGCTTCTCTCGTTCTCGTGAGGCGGGCGGGGCTTCTCTCATTCTCGTGAGGTGGGCGGGGCTTTTCTCATCAGGTGAGGTGGGTGGAGCTTGTGCAGCGGCTTGATCTCCTGGGCGGTCTGATAACATCCCCAAGAGTAATTAGAACGTCAGAGGTTGAAGTCACTGTCCACCGATGGGTTTTCTTACTCTCTAAAAAACACCCTTTTCACTGTTTTTCTTGGACTTAGCAGCAATCACGCAATAAACTCCATTTCTGCTTCCATTTCGTGTTTCTCTTTTACTTGCAGGAAATTTGTTTAAAGTCTGGAGTGGGAAACCCTTTACCATTTCTGTAAGTTATGCTGTACTGTTTTGAGAGGGCTTCTTTAGCATCATCAGGAGATGCCAGCTTGGCTGATATTAAATTAGATAATAATCTTTCCCTGACCCTTCTTCATGCTTGACTCTATAAACAATTCAAAAAAGAAGCAATATTTGAAACTATAATTTGCAATTTATGTCAAGATTAAAGGTGTTGTTATATTGCCTACATAATATAACAGTTCTTTCTAGAATAGCATTTGGGATTCTCATAACCATCCTTGAGTTCTACAGCTATTTAGTAATAGAATAACTGCCACACTCAGACAGTCCTGGGAAATGATCTCTAAAGCCAGAGGATAGTAGGGTACTCAGAAAAGAAACTGATCTGTACATTTATATATATTTTGAGAGTGGCATTTATGTGAGTAAACATTTTGAAAACTCTAGAACAATGGCATTTCCAGTCACCAGTGGTTGAATTTTATGAGATCCTTTAGCAGTGGAGCATAGAAGAACAAGCAGCTGAGTTCTTATTTTGCATAAACGCAGAAAGATTTTGTTCTTTGGCACTTACTGTGTGTAGAGGTTGGCAAAACAGGCAGGTTTTATCTTTAGCGTAAAATTGTACAGAGTATAAACTGCTTAGAAAAGAGGGATTGTAAAAAATCTGTGCCATCATTTCTCCTGCTATATCTAATTGTCTGTGTCACTTCTTGGTTTGAAATGCTCAAACCACCCTTTCAACAAAAAACAAAAACAAAAGACTAAACTGGCCCTCATCTGACATCCCAGTGATCCCCCCTCCCCCAGGACAGACTCACTGGAGCAGTGGCATGTGCAGGGCAAGGGCGCCCTCCCCAGGGCAGCCTGTCCACTGCACCTTCCTGATGGAGAATACATACTGCGGGGCCAGGGCTTCCATGGTGACCTTGCAGAACAGCATGCTGTCACCACCTCAGGGATGAAAGCGTTCTCATCCCTTCAGAGAACCAGTTAGACAGCAGCAGCTAGGAAGTTTCTACTCACTTCCCTTTCATGTCAAGACTCTTCCTGAATCCACATGCAGCCTTTACCGTAGTTAGGGTATAAGGCATAGTGGCCTCCCAAGCCATCTGGCTGCAAGCTGGCATAAGATGCCTTTGGACTAACAGCCTGTGGTGAGGTGGAGAGTCTGTATTTTTGCACACTGTCCTCTGTAACTAGCTGCTGTAGTAGCCTTCTGACCTGTCCTCCGGGTGCCCCCACTACCACTGCACCCCACACACGGTCTGTTTTCCACACACCACCATCACAGTGATCTTTTTCAAAAGAAAGATTGGGCCACTGCCCCGCTCAACCCCTTCCAGGCTCTTGCTTCATGGCACCCTAACATAAAACCTGAAGCCCATCTGAGGTCCCCAGAGGCCCTCCATTGCTCTCCTCTCCCTCACTCTCCCTATTTCCATGAACTTGCTGCCATCTCAATGCCTGTGCACCCCCTACCTGGAGGAGTCCCTCCAGACGTTCCTGTAGCTCCCTTCCCCTTCCACCCAGGCCTGTGCTCAGATTTCGTCTTCCCATAGGGGCCCCCCTGGGATCACACCATATAAAACAGACTCACTGTCTCTCCCCTGCCCTGCCTTAGTTTTCCTGACAGCACTTATCAGTACCTACTATGACATTACTTGTGGCCTTGTCTGTTTTCTCCCTCTTTTGCAAGACAGCAGGGGGCATGAGGACAGGGATCTCCCCTGTCGTTGTCATCATCTCCACTGGGTGGGGAAGAGCATGGACTCTGGGGCCAGCCCGTCTGTGTTCACGTCCTGACTCAGCCTGCTAGCTATGTGACCCTGAGCAAGATATTTAACCTCTCAGTGCCTAATGCAAACTGCAGATGAAAGTAAGCCCTACTTTATGGGTGGTAGTGAGGATCAAGTACCCTAACATATGCGAAGCCCCTGGGATAATGCTAGCACATAGTAAATGTTGTGCAAATGCTTGCTGTTATTATCCACAGGATCGAGAACATCCCATGTAAGAACATCCTTACTAAGAGCTGGCTCTTAGTAAGTTTTCACTGACTAACTAAATGCATGAAGTATATTCCCTGAGGTCATACACCTCAGTCACGGGGTCTACACCACCAAAATCAGGGTGTCTTTTTGGCCACCCACGGTCTCCCTCCTGAAGGAATGAACCATGAAAGGAATATGGAAATCTGATGGGGATCGTGACATATTAACCCTCATGGAGTTGTGATAGTCTTCATATCAAGTCTCTCTTCCACTTGATGATTTGGACTCCAAGCCCCACCTGCCCAGGTGCACATGGATCCCAGCTGCACGGTTCCACCAGTGAGGAAGCCCACAGCCACTTTTCCAGCTGCCAGACATGCACACCGTAAAGGCAGTGCTCACACTGAAATTCTCCACCCACAACACTTACCTGCTCCCCCTGCTTTCCACTCATTCTTCAGAGGGCGGCTTCTTCAGTCACATGAGTCCTCTGTGGTGCTAATGATACCCCCCACCCCTGGTCCCATAACCCTGGTAGATTTTGCTTTTTAAAATAAGTCTGTGGACAAAAATGATCTGGTTTTCTGGGTAGAGAAACCGAGGTGCAGGAAATCTGGAAGCCTTGTCTAAGGTCACATGGCCTGGCATGTGCTCAGCTCTTCTAGCTCCTTAGAGCAAACTCAGAAGTTCAAGGACATGGGCTCCTGAGTCAGTAGAAACTGAAGGATAGTCTTAAGTCACCCTCCCGTTTTGTTCTGATGATATTTAAGGACCACTTCAACTCTCCTCAGAGGTCATTCATTCTTCCTTTGTTGTCCTTAATGTGCAAGATCTTCGTCTTCATTGTGGCAACCCTGAGGGATTCTAGATACATCAGCCTTTGTTAGCCTTCACCCAGCGCTTAAGGATTACTCTCATT